TTCATAGAATTGTGGTTTCAAATTATATTAACCAAAGTGATCACTCTGAATCTTTCCAAGATAGATGGCCTCCTTTTTCCCTACTTCAAGCAGAGGCTGTAAACCAGGAGACAATTTGTTCTATTTGGCAGAAATTTCTTTATTTTGTTTATGAAGGAATAGTCTAGACTTTTTCCTTCTTCATTTTTCCCCCTTCTTTAGGACAGGACTTCATTTTGTACCTGTGGCTGCCTCCAACTCACTGCTTATCCAACTCTTATTTCACATTCATAATCCTGGTTTCTCAAGTCCTGCTGGGGTTGTAGGTAAACAACAGCTCTCCTAACTTCCACCTGTATTGCTGAAATTTACAAATAATACAAACTAAAATGTACAAGTAAATTTTAAAATAAATTTAATTTTGCCAGTTTAAAAATTATAGCTGTGACAGCCTAGTTCTGCTACGGAAAACATTTCCATGTAGTTCTTGTGAAGAGACAATATACCCCCTCCCTCCCCCCAATTAGGCAGGCCAGATTCTCTTTTTCTGTCACCATAGTTTTCTCTCTTTCAGAATGAATAGAGTCATGAGGCATACCGTTTCTTCTAAGGGAGACTGGCTTATTTTACTTGGTATAATGCTCTTGGCTTCATTTACATTGCAGTGTCTGCCAGTATTTTTTCCTTTTATTGCCAAGCCATGTTCCATTTTACGGTATACCACAATCTGCTTACTCATCCACTAATTGCTGGACATTTGGACTCCTTCCAGGCTTCTTCTACCATGAATTTTATCCTATGCATTTGGCGTACAAATCTTCCTGTGGACATATGTTCTCGTTTCTCCCTGAGTAAATATTTAAGTATTGCAGAGCTATGTAATAAACATGCAGCTTGATAAGAAACCGTAGAACTGTTTTTTAATGTGGCTGTTCCATTTTGATTATCACCAAGTTTGCATTTCTCTGAGATCCAAATCCTCCCCAACCATCAGTATTGTCACAGAGTTTAAGCACTGTAGCAGAAACACAGCGGTATTTCAAGTGGCTTAATTCACCTTCCCCAAGTGAATTAAGAGAGAGGAGAAAGTGATGATGCCAATCACTTTCTCCTGTGTGTGTGTTCCACGTGAATGTTTTCTTTGGTGAAGGCTATGTTCAACTCTAGTTGTATTAATGAGATAGGCTTTTTAATACAGCCTGGCACAGAGTATTTATACTGAGGTTGTTGTTGTTGCTGCTGTTTTTTCAGAACATGGCTGACTTTTCACATCACTAACGATGTTTTTCTGGTGCTGACAAGATGGCTCAGGGGTTAAAGGAACTTGCTGCTTTGGAAAGGACTGAAGTTCAGTTCCCAGCACCAACAAGAGGCAGCAAACAATTATCACTAACTCCAGCTCCATGTATTAACACATATACAAACATAGACACTTAGATAATCAATGAAATGTAACAGTACCTTTCCTACAGCACAGATGTTTTTTTTTGTCATAGTTTTCCTTTATGGATTATGTTTCCTGTATCGTCTGGCATCTTTGTTTCCCAAGGTCACAAAAATTTTAGTTTGGAAGCTTTATGCTCTCAACTTCTTACTGTAGATAAGGTGATTTCTGAGTTAATTTATACACATGATCATTGTATTATTATTATTACGGGTTTTTTTTTTGGTTTTTCGAGACAGTGTTTCTCTGTGGTTTTGGAGGCTCTCCTGGAACTAGCGCTTGTACACCAGGCTGCTCTTGAACTCACAGAGATCCGCCAGCCTCTGCCTCCCGTGGGCTGGGATTAAAGGCGTGTGCCACCACCGCCTGGCTATTATTATTACTCATTTTGGTTACTGTGATCAAGTATCCTGTCAAAGGCCACTTAAGCGAGAAAAATCTCTTTGGCTCACAATTCCAGGTTACAAATGGACTTGAAGGAACTGGTCACACCCCATGCATGGTAAGAGCTGTGGTAGCCTGTCTGTATTGAATCAATATGTACATGTTAGTGCGGAGATCACATTCTTCCTGCTCATTTCAGGGTCTCCTGTTAAAGGAACGGTGCCACCAGTTAGGGGAGGGGGCAGGGAGCGTCTTTCCATCTCAGTTGGCACAATCGAGTTAGTCCCCACGCCATAACCACAGTTCAACGTGATCTAGACAACACCTCCTCCGACTGGAGCTCCTTTCTCAAGTAACTCTAGATGTTTCAATTAAAATGGACCACAATTTTGTTACATGTTTTCCCATATTGATATATCTAGATTTTTCCAGATTCATATTTGAAATATGATCCTTATATCAATAAATCACATCTAATTGGCAGAAAACATTTACTTTAAGATGCCTTGAGCATTTCGGAGGACTTTCTGAATGGTGCTGTATTAGGCAGCACTTCTGTCAAGGTATTTTTTTGGATTTAGCTTTGGTGTGAGCAGTGTGGACGGTGGGGCCAGCAGGCAGACATTTACAGTGCAGTGGACACAGCCCTCAAGTAACAACCAAGCACTGTTTCTAGGAGAGTTCCTCACGCACACACCTCCTTGTTCAAAGACTAACCCAATGCAGTATTCCAGCCTAAATCTATTCTGAGTTACAAAACACAAGCTTGGTTTTTTTGCTTTATGCTTCAAGAATTTTGTCAATAGAGGTGGGTGCCCAGGGCTGGCACAGTATGGCTGTGGGATTGAGACCAGCCACAGATTTTCCCCTAAATGTGTTTCCTCTGTTGTTTCCATCAGTCTTACTAACCTCGGCACGGTAGTGAGCTGTCACCCCAGAGGTTGCTGGAAATAGATTCAGATGCATGTCTGCTGAGGCAAGGCGAGATCTCATTGTCTCACGAAGCCCTGCACGAGCCCCAAATGTCATTATACTACGCAGCAAAGGGGTTTGTTGTTACCATGGTTTTTCTTTCACTTTTACTACCCTGTTGAAACTTAGAAGTAACCTGACTAAATTACAGAATGTACAATGATGAACTTAAAAGTACACCAGCTCATCACTAAGCAAGATAACCTCACCATATTCTGATTTCCTGGATTATCTAGCTGACTTTGGCTGGACTCACTGGCACAGTGTTCAGAGCCAAAGTGTCAGGCTCCTGACCAAGGGGCGTTACTGTCTTGGCACACTTCTCCTGTCTTCTCACTCTGTAATGTTGTGATAGGCTGTGGTTACACATCCGGGCCTGTGAATGAACAGCCTCTCCCACTGGTGTCCTGTCAGGTGGTGATTCCTCTAATTCGTGAGAGGATTTGGAGGTTCTATGGATGATTCCAGCCCCTGCCCCGCATCATTGTTCTGAAATATCCCTCTATACCTCCATCTCTTCATGACACTGGCCATGGTAGGAGAGACCTGGTCACCAGGGGACACATGGCTTCTGTAGGGGCTCAAACAGATCATGTAATGTGCATGTACTAACAGGGAACAGGGGGTGACCCAGCAGCTCTTAGGTGGAAGAGAAGACAGTGCAGAGGCAGAAAACTACAATGAGTGCTTATACTTCATACCGCATTCAAAGGAAATCTAGCCTGTGGAACATGACCGCATAAACAACCTGAAAGCATACCTTCACAAAAACCTGACTCACTTATGCCTGCATGTAGATAAAAATCACAGTTCGGCTGTCACTCTGCATTTAATGTCACTCTGCATTAAAATATGAATAATATTCCTTGATACTAGAGATTTCCTGGGAGTTCTGGTTGATTGCATGGGGAAAAGCTTAACATGGATTATCTCCAAGCTACCTTTGTCCTTATCTGTTTGTAACACGCAGACTAGACTTTACAAATGCAAACCTGTAGCTCTGTTCCTAGCTCTGGGATTGCTGAAATGGGGCAACAGCTTCAAGGGAAACGTACAAAAGGCAAATTAAAGAAGGAACTCACTCTCTGGCATCATTTTCAATGTGATTTAATGAAGGCACCACTTAAAATAATAATTTCAGGAAGTGATACTTTCAGAGACTATTTTAAGGTTAATTTGCTCTTCCATTAACTATTTAGAGCTATGGAGGCCATGCATTCCATTATTTCTGCCATTCTTTTTCAACTAGCCTAAAGAGGCACTTTAATAGAAAATTACATTATAAATTTCTAGGAGATGCAGAGTTATTTAAATCCTATTTCAACTTTAGTTTTTAAAGATCAAATGAAGACAATTCTAAGAGAGTGTGAATACATGAACAGTGTGAGACTATCAGAATATGTATTATATGTATTATAGATATCACAAATGATAAAAAATGTAAAAAATAAAATTGAGCAACAGTATATTGTTCCTACTTAAAAAAACTAATAGCTAAATAGAAATTCTTCATGGGATGCTTTAAAGTTTTGAATAGCTTATTACTTGGGGTCAAAGCAGTTTAATCTTTATAACTATTGATAGCTTAAATTTATATAGCTTTATTGTATTATGTTCATATTTGACCTCTATATTAACTGATCTGTTTTGGGGTTTTTGATCCATTGAAATATATACACATGTTTATATAAAATAATTGGAGCTATGTCTGTTTATAAGTACATGCCATATGTGCACATATAAGATACATAACTACATGCACCTAATTTAAATATGTAGATAAATATAAATATACTGAAATATTGTATGGATATTGAAATATGAGTATCTAGCTATGTTTGTGCTCTCTGCATGTCATCGGTTCATTCAAAAAGACCTCGTTAGGCAGCCGCGAGTGAGTAGCATCTGATGTCAGTCAACCACTGTATATACTTCTATCACAGTCAACACCTGATGCTCACACCTTAAACAGAGGATTGGATTGGCTTTCCTTACCACACAGCTCCAAATTACCACAGGAATATTCATAAAAGTTGGTTGCCACATCTGCGTGAGTCTGCGTGGTTCTGTTCTGTGCATCATCAAGAGACCCAAGAAGAAGGTCAAACAAGTGAGTTGTGCAGGTTCACCTAGAGGGTCATCCGTGCCCTTCTGATGAAATCTGATCCTCCAAGTAGCCTTACCACATTTTGGGAGGCGATGGAAAGAAAAATGCAACTGATTGTTTCCTAAATGGCAGAGTTTATTTCAATACTCACATACAACTGAATGAAGCAAACTATTTACACAAAACATTAAGTACAAAAAATATAATACAATTTATCTGTACATAATTACGACTCTCTTAGTTTCCACAAAATGTTGGCAGAGTGGGATTGGGAGGAGGTTCTAGGAAGGGAGCAGTGTTGTGCTCTTGGCAATATGTAGGACCATTTCACGACTTCATTGTTAAAAGAGATGAAGAAAGTGGAGACATAGATGCTGGGAATGCGCCTAGGGCAGTCATACAAGATGACATTTTCACTTTTATAATAAGTGCAAGTTTCACCTCATTAATATGTTTGGTTAGACAGGTGTGAGTTGGTTTTGGCTAATTGTTTGGGAAGTGCCCCTGCCTGCCTCTTTTCGGAACTTCCATAATTGGTTCAGTGATAGACAGAATGCGTTTCCTGCCTGGGTTGACACAATTAGGGTCTTAAACTGATTTCTGAAAACAAGATATCTGCCAGGTATCATAAGCAACAATTTGAGGCAAGGAAGAACATAAAACCAGTGCATTAACGAGTGAAACAAAATGATGATGATCACAGAAAACTACCAATGCATACTCTACTGAGCGTTCAGGAGAAAAACTGACAGCCAGACATAAAGACCGAATAGCATGGACTGCCCAATGTCTGAGGCAGAAAATAACCCAGGTGCATTCCCACACATACCCAAGTGGCTGCTTTCTGTTAGGGAACTGACCGAGGAATGCAGAGCTACTTCACTCTTGAAATGGCTCTGTAGTAGCTAATACATATTACCTTTGAAGTTTAAATTTTAAGATTGGTAACAGTCTGCAAGTTTACCAAAGGCTGAAGTTGGCCTAGGAGAAATTTAAATGAATGGGAAATGAAACAATCCCAAACAGTTTATTTTGTATCACGAAACAGACAAGGAGGCATAGCAGGTATAAAATCGAACCAAATGGGGTAGCACACGTTTGGTCCTATGTTTTGCAGAATCTTACACTGGGACAAACCGGTGTGTCTTACAGACAGATGAGGTGAGCATTCTGGTGAGTCGGTGGTTGGAGGCTTTCACCGCGCATCTTTTGAAGCAGCAGACCTTGAAGCTGGATGTTAGTCCACAGTGATGGTGTAAGAGATGAGTGGTTGGCTTTAACATAGAAGACACTGATAACATTTTAAACCAAGTAGAAGGTATCAATTTTATTAATTTATCAAGCAGTTCAGATACTGGAGTTGCAAAATAAGACAAAACAACCCACAGGACATTCTGGTTGGTTCTCATTCCACATTCTGTGTCACTGTTGGTAACCTGCATCTGTTTCCCTTGTACCTGTTACCCTCCCGAAGGGCAACAGAAACAAACCTTGACTTCTACACACACCAAGTGGACTTTCTTATCAAAGGACAGGATCTAGCATGTTTCCATGAAGATTTAAAAATTAAAGCAATGTTTGTTTGTTTGTTTGTTTGTTTTTGCAGACTGGAATAGGGTCCCCTCATCGGGACACACCCTTGTTCCTGTTCGGAGAGCAAAACCACACCGGAACATGAAACATTTCTCTCTCATTTTCTGTTCCTAAGTTCAAAGACACACACAAGTAGTTTTCCTCAAAGTGTATACAACAAACCCTCAGCTTCTGATTGGAACGATCAATAACCAGGAGAAACAACAGTGCAGAGCTTACAAAAGGCACTGGCAACTTTGTAAGGAAAGTCAATCACCTCCTGCAGATAACAGACCTCCTTTAATGTCGTGATGGAAGAACAGTTTCTGCTTATCACAGCCCAGGCTTAGCTTTTTGCTTGCATTTATCTAACATTGGAACCATCTGGTATTAAATTACCAAAAAGCTGGGAAAGATAAGGATTATGTTTGGCCTATCAGTCTTAGGTTCTTGACTGATTATGAAGGGATGGAGATTTTCCTGCCCAGCTTACATTTTAGTGATTTCCATCTCTGACTTTCTCTTTCTGATCCAAGAGTATCCTTGATTAGTTTAGTCAATTTTTCTCAGTGAAGCATGTCTGCTTGGGGGCAGAGCTGATATAAGGTCTGGTCATGGAAAATAAGTTTAAATGGCAGAAGATCATGTTTTGTGGCTGGGATCTCATTATGAACTATACTATTTGTGCCAGGCTCCAGATTGGTGCTTGGGAGACTGCACATTCTTTGCACATTCTGTTTTAGGAGACTTGTTTCCATCAATGATGCTTCAGTAACATGCATCAAAATTCTGATAATGTAACATTACAATGTGAATGCAACTTCAATATACATTCACAAGGAAGTGTGACTTTTGCAACTTCTGTCAATGGTTTCAAACTATGTATTATCCACTGGGTTTCAGTTTCCCAAAGGGAACTGCAACAAACTGGAAAATAACACATTTCCTTCCTTTCATGGGATTATTCATAGACACAACCTGAAGGCCTCAGCTTAGTATTTATAGAGCTGTGGAATCTCCTTACATCATTTAAATTAATGATAACAGCTGAAAAGATAAGCTGGAGAGACAAATGATTTCTGGGCTCTGGGCATTAATCTCTCACACAGTATTCCCTATGGTATGTCTCTTAGGTCAGCAAGAACATTAACTTAGGTTTTCCCATCTCACATGCATTTCTCAAAAAAGCAGAGCACTCAGGATGTCCTAGTGTTTGATAGTAGATAATATCAAATACCCATGGCTAATAACAGGTTTTGAGAGATTGACAATGATGTGTCAACATAAGGTTCTAGATGCTCCATGAAGTAGTGAAGGTACAGGAATGAATGGGTGAGCTGGGCATGTTCAATACCATCTTTAGGCTCCAGTAAAACAGCAGAGTTTGCAAAGGAGTTGATCTATGTTTACTGTTTTGAAACCTCCATGGGCCTCAAGACTCAGACATAGCCTGTCACTTGAAAAGGAGTTTGAGCTGATGCTGACAGAGTTCACTATATCACCCATTGGTAAATGGTATCTGGAATTTCTGGTTGGGGATCCCAAATTGTCTTTTGAGACAGTAGTGCTGAACTTAGTGGACTCCAAAATGTGACTTAAGACATGAAGGACTCACTGGAGAGTTTAGGTTACATCAAGGTTAAAAAAGTTGATGACCCTGTGGAAAAATTGATAAGGAATTTGGCTTGACCTATTGGGAATTATTTGTGGCTTATTCTAAAAGCAAGAAAATTCAGCAAAGAAACGTGAGTATATACACATATTCATATACCAGTAGGCTGTATTTAGACGAAATGAGCAAATGCAAACCTGATGCATCTTTATAGTAACATCTCTTGGGCTATCCAATCATACAATAACGTATCCCTTAGGCGAAATCCTCTTTGATGAAAAATTGTCCACAGTATTGAAGGCAAGATTCCTGTGGAACATTTGCTGACAGCTGTGTCAAACTGGGTCATTTTCATCCCTTTGTAGATAACCCTTGACTAAGACTCATGCACCCAGAAAATATGATTATAGAAGAGTCCAGATGTCAGGATCATAGTAGTTGGTTGTGGGCCAGATCCTGTTCAGGGCCTATGAAGTGTATTCAGTAGAGAGTAATATAACCCTCACCTTTTCATCTCACATACCACAACTGTTTGTCTTTTCTTCAGTATCGCCTGTGAGTCAACAGCATTCACACCTAACTATGTTAATTGACCCTTCCTAGTGACAGAGGCATCTCAATGGCATATGCCCTCACAAATATTTACTAATTATGGCTTATCTTCAATTCCTTTACCGAAAGGTCAACGTCAATTCTCGGTAGAATCTTCTTTAACATGTGTGTTGATGTATCCAAGAGGACCAGGGATGCTTGGATACCACCAGTAAGTTTTAAGGGGCAGAGACATAAAGATGCCTTGCTTGCATTGGGAAGTTTTGAAGAAAAAGCCTTGAACTATGACGACAAAAGCTTGTGTGTGTGTGTGTAGCTTAGTCTCACCCAATGTCCCAGAGTTCCTTAGAACTCAAATAGTTCAGTCAGTGGCAACAGAGGCCCCAGTTCCAAGAAAGTCCCCAGGGTATTTGGAAATGTCTCAGTATGTGCAGTGGGCAAAGATTCTGCAGAATGTCAGCACATAGCAGGATTGACGATGGTCTAATCAGAGAGAGAACTCTAAAAAACATCAGGACCAACTCCCAAAGTATGCAAGCATACAACTGAAGCCAGTTTCCTAATGAAAACCAGCCAAGCGTGAACCCAATCTCTAGAAAATAAGCTGATTAATGTCATTTGACAACAGGTTCAGCCAGATGTAGCTTAAAAATATGAATTCCTTCATGTGTTTCTTGTATTAAAGGGCAAAAGGAAGCAAGGAAGAATGAAGGAATAAAGGAAGGCAATAAGGGTTAGAGGGAGGAATGAAGCAGGGAGGAGGGAAGGAAATGAAATTGCCAGTCTGGAATTTAAAACATAACCCACAGGTTGCAGTCTAACCACAGACAAAGAGTCCCCAGGTAGAGCAGATCTACTCTGAAAAGGGGGTCACAAAGAGGGTGGCAGGTTCTCTGCATATCGTGTGTGTGTGTGTGTGTGTGTGTGTGTGTGTGTGTGTGTGTGTGTGTGTGTGTGCTAACAAGAGGCCTGGAATATAATATGGCATGCACTGTACCAGGAGTAGCAACAATGCACCTTCAGAAAAGAAGTCACATCACTGGAGGTGAAAACCAGAATATAGCTGTGGCATTCCTAAGCAATTGTTCCAATTGTCTAGCTAAATAAGAGCAAATGCCTGGTGGTTGGGGATGGAAATTTGAAGAGAACAAGGAAGTAAAAAATGAAGCTTTAAAAAGGCAATAGTAATGTCAAAATATTGTCTTGTTTCAAACACGAGAATTCTGACTTGGGGTTACAATATCAAACTGATACAGACCAGACTGGAGGCCATTCAGAAAGCATTATCAAGTTTAGCAACAACTTCTTGAAACATTTGCACCCTCCTTCCCAGCAGAAAGAAAATGGTCTTCCAAGTTAGAGAAATACTCAAGAAGGGAAGCTTATTTTTAAAAACAAGAAAATTTAGTGCTACACCAGGAGGATTTATTCTTTTCTTAAGAGAAAGTAATGAGATGAGTTGAGGCATTCAATGAAAATCTGCCCCAGAGACAAGGAATAAATCATCTGACACATCTATTTGTTGAGTGTGGAGTTTTCAAATGTGTGTGCAACGGAGGCCATGTACACTGTGGAAGAAGTGTGTGAAATGCCACACGATGTCCCACTGGGATATTCCCATATGCCATTTCTTCACAATCTGACACATCTCCCAGAGCCCATCTGCTGCTTTAATTTCAGTTTTAACACAGAGTTATGTCTGAAAAATGTGTTTAGATGAGAATAATTCGTGATTAGTCATGGGATTTTCAGGGGGAACATTTTCTGAGATTTTATATTTGATAGGGGAAAACACACTCATAAGACCCTGTAATCTTTACCCCGGTGCTATACATTTGCATAGGCATGAAAGTTTATTTACTTATAAGAACACGTATGAAGGCCTACTCAGGCCTTTATCATAGTGTCTCGTGGCACAGACAAACCATTTTGTCTTTGCTTTTAAAAAGCATTAAATCGGTACCCATATATCAGCTGTTAATGGATCTTCTTTACTCCTCTGAAGACCAAGGAATGGCCTCACAACATTCCATCACGAGTGAGCGCAGAGGGTTCACTAGAGCCCTGACCTTCTAACCTGCTACCTCTCAAGGTACCTCTTGACAGCTACTGCCTCAGGTGCAGAAGTGGGTCCGGCTAGGCTGGGTGAACAGGAAGGCAGCACTGAGGTAAAGACACCAGAGCCTCTCCCTCCTCTGGCCTGGGAGCAGCAGGGGACAAACAAGGGGACCATGGTAACTGCAGTGTCACTCCAGTGTGACTGTGCTGAGCTCTAGAGGAACAGCTTTACACTCCTTTAATGCTCTTGATAGGGGCCCATTGATGTACATTAGACACATCAAAGATGCTAAATACAAACAATGCGTGTCATTAAACATTAGTTCATTCAACACTGCGTAACACAAAAAATAAAAAATAAAAAAGAGTAGCTTTCAGTTACAATTTGGTACTTTCATTGTTTTCCACAACTGGCATCATAATGTCCAAGAATATTCTCTCCAGGGAGGGACAGAGGGATGTGGAGTCTACCCAAATGCTAAGATTGGCTCTTCAGCATATTCCCACTGCCCAGGCAGGTGGCCTTCAGGCCCACAGCATGGCAAGGAGCTCCCCGGAATGCCATGGAGTCCGAAAGTCAGAGTAAGGCTAGTTTCACTGCAAGCTGCAGAACACTGCTGTGTGTCTCACTGTCTGTTCTCTGTTTCATGTGTTCACCACACGATGATGACAATCACTATCCCAGGGCACAGTAAAGGGCCTTGGTGGACCATGACTACAGGTCCAGGGCAGGTGGGAAGGAATCACCCCAAGTGCAAACAAGCTCTGTCCAAGAACAGCGTTTGGGGAGTTGGTCATAGTCATATCTTCATTCTTTGAATTACTATAGACCTGTGGGGGAAAGGGATCTCTCAGATAAAGTGCCTGGTTTTGCTTCTTTGTTTTTTAAATTAAAACATCATGAAGCTCTACACTCAAAAGATGTAATGTTTCTGAAGACACCTATCTAACGTGGTTGGCACATTTATGAAATAAAACTCATGAAACAATAGACCAGTTAGAGTTTTTGTTGGACACAATACAAAACTTCACACCATGGCTCACTGAGCAACAATCAAATGTTTGCTACAGACCAGATTGTCACAACACCACATTTAGGTGTTTATGGGTGTATGGTTTTGTTTTTGTAGCAATGGGAAAGTCCTGGCTTGAAATGCACTTGCAATGAATCCACACATCATCTTCGAAGCCTCAGAAATAGGGGTAGTCATGGAGCACGGCTTCGAGGAGCAGAGAGCTTATAAGGAACCAGAAATAGAAGAGCGGCTAGTATTCATCATAATTGTTGAGATCTGTAAAGTAGGCGTTGGAATAGGTCTTCCCAGTGAGATGTGGGTTGAAGTATTTGTTTCTCTCCTCTAGGATCAAGTTGTTTTTGTTAAATGCCTGCAAAATATGTTTGAAAAGATTTAGAATGTTCAGTAAGTGGTGTTTCTAAAGGGGAAAAAAAACCTCAGGAGATGCTATGCTGAATTTGAGCTCTCTCTGAAGGCTCTATTAGTTTGGAAGGTGTCTTCTCATTTACTGCCTTCTCAGCTCATTTGCCTCAAGGAAAACTTGGCTAATAGCTGGATAAGGCTGGCTGTCTTCCGTAGCATCTGGCCTACTTTAGCACTTTAATCAGGAAGGAACCAAGGGAGACAGGACCAGAAATCCAAAGTCTGAATGTCTAGAAAGCCTCTAAGACTCATACAAATTTGTGTATACTTCCCAAGTTATTTTCCATACCTGGGGATATACTAATATGTGTCTAGACTTCCATGAAGAGCTACATACATTATGTTGATTTCACTAATTCTTTGAAAATTTTATAAATGTATTTTAGTCATATTCACATTCCATCCCTTCCTATTCTTCTTTCAGATCCATTCCTACCTACTAAACCCTCACCTTAATGTCCTATCTTTAATCTTTTAAAACAGATAATCCAATGACTCCAATTTATGCTACCTCTATACTCCTGGGTATAGGACCATCCCCTGCAGCGTGGAGTAGGAGTCACACTCTTAAAGAAATCAGTCTTCCTCCTCCAGATGCCATCAGTATTTATCAAAGAATATAGAGCTTCTTTAAGTAAGGGCATCTGTCTCAAATGCCATAGTCCATTTCCATTCTGCACTCATTAAAACATGTCCGCTGTGGCCATCTGTGACACAGATGCCCTACCTCATTAACTGTCATTAAAGTCACATGTAACTTCAAAGAGATAAATTATACCAAGTAGAAAGTAAATACTGAGAAGGCCAAGATTAAGATGAAACAGGGTAGGTGGACACTAACTTCAAATAATTAGTTGAATAAAGTTCTTGAAGGATTTGTTGTAGACTAGGCAGACACTGGTGTTTTTTCTTCCCCTCATGGCAGTAACATTTCTAATATCACCTCAGAATGGGAGACTACCTGAGGCAAGAACACAGACCAGCTCAGCTACCTACTGCTGATTAAAGTAGCAAGACTGCAGACATGCTGATATGTTGGCATCAAGCTATAGGGGCTCTGCAGTTTTGTTTGGAAAGCCCGCAGCTCAAATTTTCTGATAGACTATGAACAAGTCCTCTGTCTTTCACTTTATTCTTACTCCATCATCTAAAAGGTGGGAGCTAGTGATAGATCCAGAGTTCTGGTTCAAGTTGAGTTTATAGGTTAAGCAAACAAACAAAATGAACCCACCCTATCCCTGTATGAGTGGCAGAGAAGGAAGTGAGGACCTTGAGTTCGGGGTCATAAATCTGCTGTCTGAGTCTGAGAAATCTAAATGTGATATACATTCTGCTTTTTTAATTGTGGATTTCATTGCGTTATTTTTTAAAGACTTGATTTTTCAAAATTTTGTACAATTAAAGCAATCACACAATGAAGTATGCTATCTATTCTCCCATTTCCCATTCCACCTCCTCTCATATCCCCCAACATTTTTCTCTCCAAGCTTCATGTTTGCTTTTTAATAGCAGACTAAGTCTGGTTAATGCTGCCCATGGGTGTAGGAATGTCCATGGGAGCATGGAAAACCCACCATGGACCATATCCTCAGTAGAGTGATTCTCCATGTTCCAGCAACTACCCACTGCCAGTAGCCCCTCAGGATAAAGTAGGACCTTTAGATCATCTATGACCTATCTATGCCTTGATCTTGTGCAGGTAAGCACAGCTTTGGTGAGATCCTGATTGTGATGGATAGCCATATCATATCCAGATGACTACAGCACAGCACTCCTCTGTGTCCCATGGTTTTTACATTCTTTCTGCCCCCTACTCCACAATGTTCCCTGATCATTGGTGTGGCACATAATAATATTCTTACAAAAGGGAATGCTGTTGCAAAGTTAGTTATCATGACAGGGAGAGAGGCTATGCCAATGTTCACTAAATTGGTTACAGGAAACAACTAACTCAACAGGAACACAGAAACTTAGCCTTGGCTTGGGAGACTTCCCTTCATGAGTGTGGAAAAAAATGGAAGATGGGTACAGCAGACCAAAGCCCCTGATGTAATTCTAACCCCACCCTAACTTCTCTTACAAACACAGTAAGAACAGCAGCTAACATGCTAGCCCACATGGAAGGTCACTGAAATCTCACAACAACATGGAGGTATGTGCTATCATACCCATTTTATAAAGGGGTATACTGAGGTGATAGGAAACTCAGGTCTCCCTGAAATGGACATGAACATCTGGGTGCCATAATGCAGCTTTTATATTGCTGCTTACTTATTCATTTGGTCGTATGCTGAGGGCTCTTTGTGGAATGACCTATCTTCAAATGCAAGAAGCATAATTGAGGCATAGCTAGACACTGTCCAAGACTCACTAGTTCCCAGAGTTTTATATATCATTGTTTTCCTTGAAGACTTTTGTTTACAATAGGAATAAGTGAACAAGAAAAGCAAAACTCCAAAGACCTTCCTTCCACCCCCAAAAGTATCCAGCCAATACTTGTCGACCTCCTACAACTACCACAGGGGATTCACCAACACCTACAGGTTGTCTACACTCACCAGAGAGCACCCAACCAACACCCAAAGGTCGGGGGTACCCCAGCTCTATCCACCAGTGAGTGCCACCACCAATGAACCTCTCTGGCAGCTCCAGCATCACCTGCCTTTGGGGCCTACCTGGTGGCAGCTATCACTGTCCATTTCTTACCTTGATGGCCTCCACTGAGTCATATTTGTCCAGTTTGTTGATGTGGTTAGTTATGCTGCTGTTGAGAGCGGCAGGAGAGACAGGGTGGATGACAGTTGCATCATGGGACTGCTGCTGGTACCGCTGGCAGTAGGTGTAGACAAGCAGGGTAAGGAGGCAGCCGAGGATGGAACTGCTGAGCCCCACGGCCATCATGTGGAACATGTTGAACTCTGTGAAACAGGGTCAGTGTCATACTGCACTTGAGAAGAACAGGCTACTTGCCTCTCAAAGTGCCCCAGTGAAAGGAAAGAGAAGAAGAGGAGCTGCACACTCCAAGGTACAGACAGCACAGTAGTTTTGTTCTTAGAAGTGACAGGGCCATGTAAGAACTTCCCCTTACTGAGCAGCTTAGTTCACATTGGTGTTCTTACGGATTATCATTGTTTCCTCAAAACCCTTGAATATTGTTTGTTTTGCCCCTGAAACACATTTGCTTTCCTCTGAAGCCCCCAGAGAGCCTTCGAGAGCACAGTGGCCACTGGCCTGAGGGTTGTCCGTGGGTGGTGTGTCTGGGGAACTTAACAGACTGAGCATCCATCTATCCACCGTGACTGCAGCCTATGAGGGAGAATTCACCTGGGGTTCTCAGTTGTTGCTTTCTCTTTGTTTCATTTTATTTACATTGTTTTCTATGTACATGAATTCTGTACTTTTGCAAATACAAATTTTGTTCAATAATTGAAACTTTTGAAGATTATGAAGCAGATTCTCTTCTTCCTCTAGTTTTGGCTGTGCTTTTCTAGAGATAATGCAGACTTATTCTCTCTCGGTTCTAAGAATGCAGATACCTCACTGGGTTCCCTGTCAGCAACAATCAATACATACTCCTAAATGAACAGATAGTGAAGGTCCTACCATAGATTTCACAGAACTAATGGCTGGATAATCTATAGAGAACATTCTAGAAGAATCTGCCTCTTCCTGACAATTGAGTGAAGAATCACCTCAATTCTTCATTGCTAGCTCCATTTGTTCAAAAGCAAGATCATAGAGGGACATTACAAACCTTGGATGTGTCTTGCTTTGTCATAGAGACTGTGATGGGGCAGGGCTCTCAGCATGTGACTGTTGTATAAGTCATTCTGCACCCTTTGCAACAGCAAACACTAACATTGTGCTGTTTTTACGGAAGATGGAGGCTGTAGTGAAGTAAAGCAAGGCTGATTTCATGTGAGCTCTCCTTTTTCTTTATTTTCATTGCTAGGACTCCCCGGAGTTAGTGCCACACACTGCTAAAAATACTTTCTACTGTGCTGATAACTCATATTTCATTGCTGCATATGGAAGATGTACAATGGTCTCCATATGCAGATGTGCGTCATCAGTCACATGAATTATTCCTGCAGGTGCCTGGGGAAGCTGTGGCCAGCTGACATCTTTATGACGAGATTACTCAGTCTTTGTGTCTCCTGCAACTAAGAATAGCTAAGCTTAAAGATCTCAACAGGAGGAAATTCTCTGCAAAGAGAAAAGCAGTGCCTATTAAATCTCTTGGGATTCTGTACAGTGTGGCACTTCCCTAAATATATGCATTATCTTTGTAACATTTACTTGTGTGTGTGTATGTGTGTGTTGTGTTGTGTGTATGGTGTATGTATGTGCATGTGTGTGTATATGTGTGTGTAGTGTGTGCATGTGTGTGTTGTGTGTATGGTGTGTGTATGTGCATATGTGTGTATATGTGTGTGTAGTGTGTGCATGTGTGTATGTGCATGCGTGTGCTGTGAGTGTGTGCACATACACATGGGCAGGTAGCATTACATGTACACGGAGGTGAAACAAGGACTTCAGGAGTCAGTTCTCTTTCTTCACTACATAGCACCTTGGGATGGCACTCAGGCCATTAGTCTTGGTGGCAGACATGTTCCCCTCCTAATTCCTGTTATGAGCCCATTTTTTCCTGGCTTTTGAAAAATAAAAGCTAGAATAGACACTAACCATTTAGTTGGTTCAGTTGAATTGATTGATTTTTTAACTAATGGAGATAAAACATCTAAACCTCCCTAACATTTAGCTACACAATCAGTTATGCTAAACTTTAGCTTTACCCTAGGATCCATCTTACTTGCTTATGCTGGAACATCAATGTCAGTAGCTTGAAGGTTAAAACAATCATTTTCCTAACAATGCACAGTAATTACAGTTTATGAGATTTAGCCAATAACATCACCAGGTTAGATGCTGAACTTGTTCAAGGCCCTTAAAGGGCTTGCACAGACCCAGCTATCCTGCCAGAGGAATAAAAAGTTGAGAGACTCTGGTAGCAAGTCTGGATGGCCAATCAGTTCCACTGAGGTGCCACCTATGTGACCCTCAGGTTTAGCTTGACCTCTCTGAAGACAGAACACAATTTCTGCACTGTTGCTTCCCTAACCCACAGCTCCTTAAGGTTAGCACACAGTCTGGTCTGAATCCTGTGCTGACCAAGAGTATGACCCAGACATGGCTGCTGTGGAAGCCCCCCCCCCCCCACATCTCTCAGGGATCTACTGGGCCCCTTTTCCTATGGTGTTTTTAATGTAAAACTCCTGCCACATTCCCCGAATCCCTCACTTATGACACATGCCGACCTGAGGCAGTAGCCTCACTCACCTCATTGAGTTCCATGGTCCCCACCTATTCAACACAGATGAAAACTGATGCCTACTCTCCCTTTAGTACAACGGCCAATATAAAAATCTTCGGAAACGTTTATTCCTTACTCAGCTGGCAGAAGAAAGTGACAAGCTGACTCCTTGGACCCAAATGCGATGACAGCATTGCTAGAGAGGCTAGTTCTGAACAGCACTAGGGCCTATGGTGGTTGAACAGTATTAGTCTATGCCCTATGTCTCCCAACTGGGATCTGAATGTGTTCACTTCCAAAGCCTGTCTCCAAGTGTCTCACACAAACAAGTGTAGACGGTGGTAGCTTTGTGAGATGCTGATAGGACATGTCTGTCTCTAAAAGCATTTAGTGGCATGTGTGGCATATCATGACCAATATGAGCGGGTGTTCAGGGGCTTTCCTGCCCAGCCACACATGCCCAACAGCAGAACACCCCTGGTAGAGGAAGGTGGCAATTTGTTAGAGTTCCAACAAGAGCTCCATTACACAGGAGAACTCACCTCCACATCTTTTCTCTTCTACGCTGCTGGATCTTGCTACAGACACTTCTGGAATAAAACAAAACAAAACAAAAAACAAATCATTATGCACCTTGGAGGTGGGAGGAAAACTTGTATCCATGCTTCATTTACAAACACTAATGACTGTGAATTCAATATAAATCCAAGGTTCAAAAACTTGGTTAATTATCAAATTTGTTGACTGTTGCTTTGTTTTAATAAACCTGAGGTGGATTTGACTATATCATCTTGACTAGGAGATTATCGTATTCAATACCAATAAAGAAAATGCCATGGTCCCTCAGCCTTGAAAAAGAGCCAAGTATTGATTTCTGCTATGACATGTCTCATTAGCTAGGGAGCCCCAACCACATCATCCTGTATTGTTTTCCTGGTGTTGCATTCTTTAAGAACTGAAGGTTGAATCATCAGAGTTCAAGGAAAACTCTACTCAGAAGCCCAAGTATTCCCTTTCTTGTGACACATGTGAAATCCATAAGCAGGATGTGAATGAGATGGTAGGTCTTCTGAGTGTGTTAACACTACCAGTGTTTGGAAATGCCAGACTCTCCCACACTGACTTTTCATTTGATAAGAAAAACTAAAAGTATTCTAAACAAAAAGTAACATCACTCACAGGCTGTATTCGTTGAGGTGCCTTGTAAGGGTAGGCTGTGAGTGTCAGCGAGAAGGCCTGGGCAACCTATGGGGCCCTGAGCTGTGGATCAGTGTCTATCCCTGGAATACAAACAGTCATCGTGTGCCTATAGCACAAAGAGGGATGCTCTCTCAGCCGAGACTCTTAGGGGAGTGCCTGGGCCCTACCCAGAGTGAAATGACAGACTCTAGATATCCCCTATGTGGAAGGATTTGGCAATAGGGTGGGAGGGTGGGGGGAAGGGGAGTGTGGGAGGAGGGGAGGGAGAGGGAACTGGGATTGACATGTAAAACAAGCTATTTAAAATTAAAATAAAAAATGGTAGAAAAGTTAACAGTTCTGTGTAAAATGCTACTATTGTTTCCACAAGTCAAAAAAATGAATGAACTGTGCCTCTATAATTTAATCTCATTTTTCACAACAGTTTACTCTTGACTTTATTCCCACAAATCCAGGGGGGATGGTTGTGTTCAGGGAATTATACATAAGTAGAATATCACCCTCTGGAGTCATTGCAACAAGTTATTGTCCCCTGTAACAACTAAATGTTGATTTCCCATAAAAAAGGCTGTGGCAAGAGGAGCTGTCAACCTTATTTTCAAGGTAACATTAAGGACAGGCATCCACATGCACCAGTACATTGAGAGTTACACGAAGACAATGACCCCTTTCTCTGTGCAAACAAGCACACAACATTGCCATAGTAAAGTATTTATACTGATATAAAAACAAGCAGTCAGCTGCCAATTTGTGCAATGAAATCCTCACACCACAGTAGTATCAATAAATTATATAAGACATTGTACTAAATTCCAGTCTAAGTCTACAAGGACCTGAGAATCTATATCCCAGTCCCCTTGAAAACACAACAGTTGATAGGAACATTTTTAATTCAGTAAAGGCAGCCTCAAAGAGCAAATAAAAGTCTGACCCAAGGGGTCATTTCCTCTCTGGATATTGCAATGACTTTGTTCACCCTGATAAACATCTCTGCCCTTACCTGGGATGAAATTAGAGTCAAAGACACATGGCCGACTCTCTGTGGTATTTCCGGAACACTGGCTGCCCACAGGAAACAGAAGAATACACTGCCGGGCACGGACCTGGATGCCAGAGGCATCACACACGGACCAATCGGACCACTCTGACCAACTCTCTATAGAGACCAGAAGAGGGGGAGAGGTGGGATTACCTGATGATATCAACCAATCACAGTCAAGTCACTCTGAACTTTTAACTTTCACATTGTGTTTTTAATGGCCCTATGCATAAATAAGATGTGGTCATAGTTTCTTAGCAATCCAGTAAATAAATCCACACATGGATAATTAATAGTGCTAAAAATTTTAATCAGATAAATTGTTTTTAAAGTAAGTGTTCCAAGTCTCAGATCATTTCAATTCTGTAAATGATGTTATGTAAAATAGTCAACAAGGTAATTCTGGAGACAAACATGAGCTCTGAGAGTCAGAAATTATCACTGCAGACACCATTTCCTACAGAGTAGCTACCCTCCACACCCTAAAGAGGCACTCTGATTGTTTCCTGGACATTAACCCTGGATCCTTGTTAGCTAGCACCACATGCTAAAATCCCTGGTTTCTGACTGGGAATATAAAACATCACTTTTTTTCTGCAATAAAACCAACTCTGCAAAGTCACCAAAGCCAGGCCAGTCAGGCAGAGTTCATCTTACTCCAGGCCTACTGACATGAATAAAGTTGAATCCTACATTCTTGGTCAAAGCCAAAAGATGAGCAATGACAGGAACTTCTTCCCTAAGGTGAAGGACTTTCTGGAATGCCTTTCAACCCATCCAGGTATACAGATGTTCAAAAATAGGCCTAAGACTCTAAGTTAAGGAATGAACTCTCCATATTATTTATTCACCGATATAAGGAGGTCATTTTCTTTTTTCAAATTTTATTTTTTTTAAACTTAGAAATTCAAGTTGTGCATTGATCCACACAAATGGAATAACCATTTCTCTCAAAGACATAAAAGAGTGGTTTTTTTGAATGATTTGTCAGAATTTGTTTTTGAGGACCCATTAAATATAGATGAAGTTTTCTAGAAAGATCTGTGCAAGCACACTGATAGTTTTTCACTGTCAAAACTAAATGTAGAAGGGTAACTCTTTTTTACCCCATGAGGTCCTGTCTGTCAGAATTCCAGGTTACCTCTTGGGTAAAGGGCGATCTGGAACATCCTACATCAAACACAGAGCTCAGAGCTCCCCCATGCACAGTTCAGAAGAGGCTCACTCCCTGCTGTCACCACTCCAGTTGCTTTGCTTTGATCCTCTGATAGCTGACTGGACTTCTGCCCTGCCCTTGAGAATAGTCCTGACCCTGAGAAAAGTGGCCTCCCACAATGCCCACTATTTTCCTCGAACGTTTCTGGGATAATCCAAGCATACAACAAGTGCTGTGCCCGGACAGGCTGTGAGACAAGGAGCCACAGGTGATTTTCTGTGCACACCAGGTGGGGGCTCTACAAGTGTTTTCTTCCTTTCCACTTCCTTCAACCTTCTCTCTCTTCCAGCAAAGCAAGATGCTACCTGAGAGTCATCAATGTTACTCAGTGAGGTCAAAGGTGAGTTGGGGTGTAGTTCCCACATAGGTAGTCTAGACACTCCAACATGTATGCACTTTCCCATTTATGATGAAAATGGAGTACAGTGTGAAAACCATTTTGTTGTAGAACAAAGTGCTATTAAATCACATTGGGCAACAGTGTGAGATTGACTTGTCACCCTTTACTCTATTTTCAGTATCTACTGTGACTTGCCATCTTTAACTTCATCACTCATAATTAAGAAAGGTGAGTTTGCACTAAAGCTGTACAGTTCCCAAGGCTTTGTGTACCTGGACAGGTCTGTGTGTTGCAGACTGCCTCCTCCGTGTGCAGTCCCAGGCAGATGTCTCCTCCATAGGCTGGGGCTGGATTCGTACACGAGCGGGTCCTCATGTAGTGTCCGCCCCCGCAGGTTGCTGAGCATTTTGACCAGGATGACCAACAAGACCACATGCCATCCACTGGAAAAGGACACAAAAACATAGCACATCTGAAGTCCCCACCAGACCAATATGACATAGCTAGAGATAAGATAAGCCACATACAAGACAGCGATACATACACCAAGAAGCCACTAATGGTGTGGGGACATCTGTGGTTTCCTAGATACAGATTTAGAGAATCCTTCCAGAGTCCTTCCACTAACTAGTTCCCTTGTTTGCTCTTCAGAAAAAATATTTCTAAACATATGCTGGTAAGCATCGGCATGGCATAGATGTTCAAAGTATGTGACTTGAAACTTCTAGCTCAGGAACCATGAATTATGTGCTGTAAAAATTAGTATGAAGCACCCGGCTAGGCCTCACCATGGCTGGTTTTACTACCTAGTTGGCTTGAAATGACGTAAGCTAAGAATCAATAGCTCAGGCAACAGACCTCCCTACAATCCACATCATGTCTGACATCCATGTTGGATTCTGCCCAGGGTTTGAATCACCATTTAATGTATTCTAAGTAAAACTGGCTCATGAGAAGATCAAACACCCTGAAGCTTAGATGCTTATTTCTTCCAAGGGAAGAAAGCAATTAGTTACCGAGAACTACTTGTGCTGAAATGAAATTTATATATTAAGTATCTCAATGGACAAGGAAAGAAAACCCTCAGTCTTGCAGTTCTAGTTAGAAACTCGACTGCTGCAATAAGATAAAAACAGCGGTGAAGTCACAAGATAAAGCTGCATGACTAACCCCCAAATACCAGTCACACTGTGGGAGATCCAGTGGACAATGTGGAGCATTTACAGCCTCTCAGCTCATGGGAACATATGGTGATGATTCCTCAGCCTGCTGAGCCGGAACCTCACAGGTCTACACTGAGGAGGAGCAACGCTTTTCCTCCTCTAAAGGGACATTGAGAAGTCTCTCTGTCTCCCCCTGTGGAAGCCCAAGGATACTGCAGATAGAAAGCACACTGTCCTCAGGGTCCCATGGGTTTCTCTATTGTTGCCTGGAGAGGCCACACCTGCCAGAGTCCCCAGTGTGATTCACTGTGTCCTTTCCATCATATCCTTAGTGTTCCTTTTCCCTGAACCTTGTTCTTTACAGAAGAAAGAGAAATGGAATGCGCCGAGTTAAATCGGATCAAATGAACTTATGTTACGCTGGGTTTTATGGGTGACGAAGTGCAACTCTAAGTTGCTTTTGTCTTATTTGAATACACATGGCAACAAAGAACCAGCTGTTGCCTTTAGCTTTGCCAGCTAAGGTTTGCAGTCTTGGGTCTTTACTGCTGCATCAAGTGTGTCAGGAGAAAAAAGTCATGATGAGAAACAGTCACGTGGCTCTCAGTTTTGAGATAAATCATGCAGGGGCAGGTTCAGAAGGTGAAGAAGAATTGTCTTAGCAAGGGCTTGTCTTTACTATTATATACTTACTTCTTTACTTAAGTTAGTGCCACAGGCAGAACCAGAGTATCCAGAATTTGAGATAAGCACTCCATTGCTCAGCTGTATCCCCAGCCCAGCTAAACCCTCATGGGCATGCATACAAAGACCAGAGTAGGAAACTGGGTGTCTTCTACTACTATTCTCTATCTTATTGTCTTGAGGCAGGGTCTCTCACTAACCAGGGTCTCTCACTGAACCAGACCACCATGCTGGCTAGGCTCACTGGTGAGGGAGCTTTTGGGAACTGCCTATTTCTGCCTTCAATGTTGTTGCTACAGGAACATGCAGCCATGCCCATTTATGTGGATGATGAGAATTCAAATGCAAATCCTCTTGTTTTCATAACAAGTACTGTGACCACTGATCTGCTTGCAATCTCTGAGAGTATTTTTTTAAAAATGACAGTGCACCCTGGTGGTAGTGGTGCATGCCTTTAATCCCAGCATTCAGGAAGCAGAGGCAGGCAGAATTCTGTGAGTTCAAGGACAGCCTGATCTACAAAGGGACACAGAGAAACCCTGTCTCAAAATATCAAAAATAAATAAATTATGGTGCTTTTTGTAATAGTTCACTAGGAACCTAGTACAGTTGAAAACATCACTTTATTTTCAAGAATATGCTCTAAGTTATGTAAAAATTACCCTAAATATGGATTCCTTTGGTCATATAGCTCAACCTCCACAGTGCAGGCGGGTTTCCCACCACCTCATATCTGAGTTACAGACTATGACATTTTTAGAGTTTTATGGGTGGTAGATGATAAATCTGATGCTCACACATTCAACCTTGAATTTGCCAGTCCCTTGTGCAGAGACATGAACAATTCTACAAAGGAATCTTGTTTTTTAAAAGAAAACCAAGGACAGAGTTATTTTTAAGATATGCAGGCCATGTACACATAGTCTTGGCTCAACAGAAAGTCAACAAAAAAATTTTAACTATCCACAGATGATTCTATCAGAGTGTCCTAAAGATGGACAAGAACATTTACCCTCAGGGACCAGGACCACATCCAAGCATCTCTAGGACTCCACATGGCTACTAATGGACACAAGAAACTAAGCTTGGAGTCTAGAGAAGACAGAGTGATGGAGGGAACTTTACATTCCTATGTCATTCTCCTTGGCTCCAATTCACAGCCCTGATTATTGAGATATCGCCCACGCTGCCTCCAAGCACCCTGGGGAGGAATCTTTCCACATGGGCTGTGGGAAAGAACAACTCTGTGACCTTTCCCAGCATCTTAGCTTCAGTTTGGCTGGGAAAGTTGTGTGGTTTGAAGAGGAATAGCCTGAGGCTGGAGAAATTCAAGCATAGAGGCCTCATGGGATCAGTAAGTTGTAGGAGCAAAGACATCGTTGAGAATCGCTGCTACAGGTAAATGGAAGGAACTAGACAACATCATGTTGGGTGCTGTAACTCAGACCTAGAAAGTCAATGTTGCATGTTGTCTCATGTCTGATGTTCTTAGCTACAAATTGTCAGATGTGATTATATAATCTGCAGTAACTATAGAAACCAGGAAAGTAAAAGGGGACCATCATGGAGTGGTTGTAATGGGGAGCAATAGAGAAGGAGATCTAGAGTACAAGTGATTGAGGGGAGTGGGAAATAGGGACTTTAACAAGGAGAGGGGAGGAAGACAAACACAGAAAGAAGGTAAAATAACAGTAGGGTGTCTGAAAAACTCATAAGGAATCGTAACTATTAGCTATGTACCTACAGATATCTATAATACATATAAGTATATATACATAAAATGTAAACAAAAATTTCCCATATGGGCTGACAATATTCCCCCAAGAGCCATAGACTATCTAACAAAAACCCAGTGACAGGTCTAAAAAACACTCTTTTGAGTTGTTGGTCAGGTTATCCAAGATAATTTTCAAACACTATAGATTATTTTTGTTGCCCCTGGTTGCCTTCTAGAGAAGTAACATAAGTCCCTATTTCTGAAAATACCCATTTACTTTAGACACAGGGTCCACAGGATCTGAGCTGATCTGACCCAAAATCCTGCTCCCTGAGGACTAGTTTTTATGATACCCAGAAGGTACAAGGGAAGTTTCCAAAAGAGACAAGTAACCAGTAGTCTACTCATCTGTGATGCTACTCATCTGTGATGCCTATGAACCACAATGAACATCATGGTTCTCTAATTCTACGGGTACAGTAGTTACACACACTTTAGCAGTTACCAACAGCTCTCTCATTGGACTTCAGGCTGACTCAACAAGAGGGAAATCATACCTGGTATTGGAAAGCTAGCTAACTACCTCGGACTAGTGAAGTCAGGGATCTTGGAGGATAACATACAACTGTTAATTTACTAAAGCAGCACAATTGCACAAATCCCAACCATATTCTAAATATTTATACGAATAGCCATAGATGAGTATAGTTGCCTCATCAAGAGTATTTCTCTTTGTAACAGACACACATTATTACAGCACACCACAATAGATGAAAATACAGAATTGTGGAGCTCAGTCATAGTGGATAACATCTACAACACAAATATGCACTCAAGGCTCAGGTGGAATGGTGAGGAGGAGTAAAGGCTGTAAGAGTAAGAACATCGGGAGTTAAGTGTGAGATCAGGGAGTTAAGTATGTCCTAATAATTTCACAAATTACATCCATTAAATCTCACCAACAAAATGGTGTGCCCAGGGACAAGGCTATAATGGCTTTAAGACTCTGTATTAAAGAGTCTGAGACTATGAGAACGCCATATGACACACAGCCCTACTAATGACCAGAAGAGAAGCCTGTCCTTAGAGGGTTTCATTCATGAGGTGGGCCCTCTATGCAAAAGGTGAGATGGAACAGAACTGGCTGGTGTCTCTGTAACATTGTTGCAGCCATGACTCTATGGACTTGGTAGAGGTAATATTGGAAGGGTTGGGTCTATTTGCATCCTGAAAGTGGCTAACATGTATTTTGGAAACAACACATATTTCTGCAAGCTAGTGACTGGGCTTAGATTGTAAGACTGGCATATGTCCTGCATAGTTCGATGTCAGTTTGATACATGCTAAAGTCATCTGAGAGGAACCTCAATAAAGAAAATGTCTCCATAAATTCCAAGTACAGACATGCCTGCAGGGAATTGTCTTAATTAGTGATCAATAGGGGAAGGCCCAGTCTATCATGTGTGGTGGTACCATCCAGAGGATATTAATCTTGGGTTTTATAAGAAAGCAGGCTGATCAAGCCAGAGGGAGCAAGCAAGGAGGCAGCAGCAGTCCTCCATGACCTCTGCATCAGCTCCTGCTTCCAGGTTCCTGCCCCATTTGAGTTCCTGCCATAGCTGCTTTTGATGATAAACTATTATATGGAACTATGAGTGGAATATACCCATTCTTCCTCATGCTATTTTGATCATGGTGTTTCATCATAGCAATAGTAAGCCTAAGACAAAGTGGTGTATGGGGATTTGTGGTTTCTTGCAAAATCGAAAGAAAATAGACATTAATCATTCTACCTTGTGTTTGTCTTTGTGCCAGGAAATATGGGAGGAGAACCTTGCTAGGACTAAGCTAGCTGCATGCATGCCTAAATAGAGACTAGAGGAAAATTTTAAACTAGTGGGAATGATTTGGGACTAGACAGCTAGGGTAGGTTAGGAATCCAGGCCTCTTCAGTTATACCTGTTTCTTTCATCCTGTCTATTACCAAGAGATACCACCATCACCCCACACATTTTCTTAAGAACATACCATATATATATATATATATATATGTATGTATGTATGTATATCCAGTAGCCTCCAGTGGCTTTCAGTTCTTAAAGGCTACAGGCATATGACTTTCCCAGTCTTTTTAATACTGTGATCTACTTACCTGGGCAAGGTAAAATGTTGCATTCCTGGAACTCCAGGGATGGGCCAAGGCATGGCATGCCCCCATACTTGGGTTCTGGGTTGTTGCAAACACGCTTCCGGTTCCGAATGCCCCTGCTGCAGTCTCGGCTGCACTGTGACCAGGAAGTCCAGGCTGACCATGCCCCGTTGACGGTATGGGCAGAGTATCTGCCTGCTCGTAGAAAGTCTGCAGAAAGTCCTGCCAAGGAAACCCAAGATGTGACTTGCAGGAGTTTTTACTCCTGTACAGGCTGTGTGCTTCATGTCTAGAAATACCCAAATATTCATCTGAACTCTTCACACCTCTCTGTAGCAGAGTGGAAGCCTCCTATAACTCAAGCCTGTTTCCTGCAGCTGCTATCTGATTAGGATGCGCATGGTACTTTATCTGAATGTGCTAACACATTTGCAGCCAGTAAATTCACACTGGTAATTCTCCTCTTTGTAGACACCTCTAAAGAATGCCCCTGCTTTACTTCCCTTAGGAGTTCTACTGAAAACTGTCCTCACCACCATGGGGCTGGTGCTACAGGAAGGACACTCATCTGGAAAAGGGGACACAGCTTAGACCTGTTCCTTTACAGTTAACCTTTTCAGTGTTAAGTCACACTGTAAAGTGATCAGAGTTAATCCCTCTTGATTCACAGGCCATGAAGACAACAGTTTGCTCCTGAGAGATCACCCAGATCCACCCCTGAAGAAGCTTGCCACGCATCTTATGATGTTGCAAGTATGGGTAGGGAGTAGGGGTGCTGGTGGGGGATGGGGCAAGGACAGATGAGCATTATAAGGATACATGAATTATTTTTGAAGATGCCTTGCATGTCAGGCCTGCTCTGAGCATTTTAACTTGTTCAATCAAACTCAGTCAAAAATTTGCTTGAAGAAGATACAGCCTGACTTGCAATATTAAACCCATTCAGTTAGTGTCTCACAGACAGTGATGTCTTCTCAAACACCTTGCTAGCTCTTTGGTGAGGCATTGGGCAATTGCTCTTCCAAGCAAGGAATACCCAACACCCACAGCCATTCCCAAGCTACTCTCTGGTTTGGTGAAGTGCGAGCAGGATGATCATCTGAGACAAGGTATTAGGAATAGCTTTCTGAACCCAGCCAGTGTCTTGTGGGCTATCAATAAACAAACAATGATGGGCAATTGAGCCTCCTTTTGTGTGATCAGAGGCACATGAATTCAATTTCCAGTTTTCAAGACATCAATAGCATTATGTGAGGATTAATAAGAACTCAAAGTCAGCAAAACATAAGACTGTTTGCATGTCTGTGTACCATGGGCAATGCTTAGGGTTTTAATAAAATAGAGGCTATCTTTTTATAAATGTGCTTTTACAAAAATGTATACATTTTTATAAAATAAATTTTTTTCATGAATACTCTATACTATTAATATTCAAACACACTAGATTTGATTTTATTTGTATCTCAGGATGGAAAGAATAAAGAATTACATGTTCGTAGAGGAAAATAAAGTCAATTGTAAAGATATATCATGTTTCATTTCAACATTTCACTTTGGTGGTACAGTAAATAAATGTCAGGGCCTGTACATAATAAGGATGTAAGTAAATTGATAAAAAGGTTGCCATACCCAACAATAAAATGAAGGAAGATCAGCTAAATAACTTAAGATGAACAATTAATAATATTTTAGGATATGTGTTTTCCACTTAGACTTCAAAAGACTTCGTAGGGCATAGCAGTATTTAAGACATTGTATGTGATATGATTTAGATATTATTTGGGATATAATGGGAAAAACTGAAATAATATCTGAAATTCATCTTTGTAGTCTCATATTTTATCCTACAATCCTGACTAAAATGAGATCACCCTTTACAGAATATACATTTTTCAACTGGACCTCCTGTTACCCTTCTCTTGGAATTTCAAGTAAATCTTTTCTTCCAGCAACAGCAGGTTTTTATAAAAGAAGCCAGAGTGGCTGTTATTTGCTGCTCCTATTTCATGTGATGGTTTTAGTTCTAAGTAGTGCATTTATTTTCACAATACCCTTCTTCAGAGTAGAACCTTTCCCTCTTAAGAGACACCTGTATTCTGTTGTTAAAACAACTGTGTCTTGTTGAACTGTAGGCATCAGTGATCTGAGATATGTTCATACCTGCACATATAGAGGATGGATGGAGAGGGGTGCTTTGGAAGTGAATAATTCTCAATAAAAAATGTTGCTCCTCAGGTATCCAGGCAGGCTCCCAGAGAAAGCACGGGGATCTGTGACACAGGGTGGGCAGTGTGGCCCATCCCTTAGAGCTTGACTGGAGTCCTCTACCAATGTGACATATCTAATCCGCCCTGTGTCTGAAGTCAGCCTGTGAACACCAGCACTCAAGTTGGGAGAATCAAGGAAGATCACACTCACAGGGCTCTAAGAAAGCTCGTGAATGTTCTGTTACAGATGTAACTGTCTTTCTCACGACGCCTTCCTCTGGACACTCCTGTATGACTGTCCCTTTCCTTTTAAGAACTAGAATATATTCTGTACAATTAGATAAAAGTATTTTAAAAAGGGAAGAAGAAAGCATATAATGAAGCATGGGGAAAAGGCTCAAACATTCCTGCAGTGTCCAGGAGTGAATTCCAGGGAGAGATCTGCCAGAGAAGCTGTCGTGGGCAGTGTCCGGGCCGGGCAGAGCACAGGACTGGATCTGCCTTGGCTCTCCACACCCACATTCTAAGCATTCACAAAACCACTAGTACAAAGAACTATCTATCAGCGTAGTTAGATCCAATGTTCTATTTAACAGAAAAATCACTTTATAGTATAAATAAGGAAATGTGCTTCTAATGCCTCTGTCTACTTTAGCACCCTCTCACCTGCCTCCAGAACAGGGTTTCTTGATGTGACAGCCTTGACTGTCCTAGAACTCACTCTGTAGACCATACTGGCCTTGAACTCACAAAGATCTGTCTGCCTCTGCCTCTGCCTCCCGAGTGCTGGTGTTAAAGGCATGTGCCACCATTTCCTGGCTTTTTAAAAAGGGGAAAAATCTAATTTTCAGCTCCGATTTTTATGACAGTTATTCCTTCATCATATTCTCTTATACTAAATCAGTCTCAAAAAACTATTCTGAATCCACCATAGGCATAACATTGTTTGAACTGGGGCTCCCCCTAGTCTTCCATTGCCTTAGAGACAAGGTTAAGGGCTTTGCAAGGAGTGGCCCCACCCACAGAACCTCCTTACCATCCGTGGAGCAGCCGCTGGTCCCATCACTAGAACAGTACCGCATCTCAATCCTCTGCCTCCCCACTTCCAGCAAGTTTGGGTCTGGTAGGCGAGCTTTACAGGTGTATCTGAACCGCTGCTCATAGTGACCACCATTGTCCGAGATGTTGACAGGTGTCCATGGGGTCCACGGTGTGGTCTTCTTCAACTCTGGGCATGCATTGGTGTTACAAGGCTGGTACTCCTGGAGGAGAGGATGGATAACATGTCTTACCGTCCCCTCCACTGCATGCAGTACACAGCTAGCTCAGGAGAGTCCTTTTAAGGTATGCCCTTGGTCTTCAAAACTTTGGGGCCTAAGACACTTGAAGCTACTTCACAAAATCAAAACCATATTTATGTTAAACGGTCACTTAACAGACACTTAATTTTCAAGTTACCTTCAAAAGAATCCTGTGGTTTCTCCTATATAGACAATGAAATTGAGAAAACAAACAAAATTGCATGTGAAAAAACCATGGCAACTACATAAAATGACATGTTCCTTTTTCTTAAGAAGTTATTCACAATGCTGTTTATCTTGGTGTTAGTTTAGCTATCTTACTAAAACCTTAGAACCAGAATATGCTGTTTAGACCCCAGAAGTTTTAGTTTGAGAATGATGGACACTAGAAGCCCTGGTAGAAGATCCACATCATCAGAGTGGGGGAGTATCCATATGGCACAGGGCATGATGTCCGGCTGGTAAGATTTCCCCTCTACTCCCCCTATGAATCTGTGACACTACTCAGTTTCTCCTCCATCCTGCTGTACCCACAGATAACCACAGGTTGGAAGGTTTGGGATCTCAGTAGAGATGTGAAGATCTATAAAGTGAGACACACTGTCTGGGTGGTGTGTAAACAGGACACAGGTGATAGAAAGGTGTCTGGCACACTTACTTATGTACTTTGCGATAAATACTATGCATACTGAATGCATAGTAAATAGTAGACCCTTGAGATAGTTCTGTGTCCCAATTCCTACAATTAGCATTAAGGTTATTTCACCAGGAAAAAACTAAAAACACAATGCACCTACTCATGAACATACTGTAAAATTTCAAATTTATGCTAAATCAAGTATAAAGCAGGAGCTACGCCATTTTCAGGACACAACAGCAGCATTGCACTCACGAACTCACAGTGGCTGTGGCTGTGTGCATGAAACCTGCACAAGATCAAGCCAGCGTGGATAACAGAGAGGCTAATGAAATCCTACACCTACCTAAAATACTATTGGCAACTGACGACTGACAGGGGGAGTCAGTTTTATTCAGGGATGTGACTCTTGAGAAGCTACCCATGTTCCTGTGGATACTCCAACACTCAGACATTTGTAGCAAAGTCCACACTAAGTGGACACAGCGGGCTTTCTAAAAAAAAGGAGCACATGAAGTTTGGGGGCAAATGTGGTGGGGAGATGGGAGTAAGTGAAGGGGAGGGAATTTGGGGTAGATTAGAAAAAGAAACATATTCCTGTATGAAATACTCAAAGAAAAACCAGTGGAAAAGCAAGCATAGCTATATTGCATGCTCTGTATTTCTGTGCTAGGCCTTTTTTTCTTTTTTCTTTCCTGTTGGGGAAGTCATCATTTTTCTTAGATGGCTTCCTGTTTGCTGGAGTAAATCCTGTACTGGCATTCTTAAGTAAGGTCGCCTTTAAGACAAACACCCTCACATAACATTTTCATGTGTTAATCTATGCGTAAACAATCCACATGTGTTCAGATATTGGTAGAGATTTGAGGTCGAGAATGAATTTCCTTCAGAGAGGAACACTTCTTGTGTTCCTATGTCCCAGTGACACAGCTGAAAAGTGCAATGTTAGCTGATTAGCTACCTGCGTTTGCATCATTTGCAAAACTATTTTAACTTATAAATTGATTTTAACTTATAAAGCCTTATAATTTTTCATGTTTTAGAAATTTTCTTGATGGCTTTGACATGAGATTTCTATCCCCCTCCTTTGTTCTTGTTGAAATTTCTATCATCTATATATGATCTCTTGGTTCAACTTTGATTATCTCATCTCTTATCTCTCTCTTTTTATTTCATTATCCCCTCTTATATTTCAGGGGAGTTCCAAATTCATTCCTTTTTCTATTGTTTCCATAAATAGTTTGGGAGTACAGAGACAACTTTTATGCTCAGCCTGGAAATTCCTGAAACACAATTTCTAAATGCCAACCAATACCAATAGGCAACTGAGAAGCAGGTCCCTCTAAACCTGACATCTGGGTTGGTGGCCATGTTAACTCTTTTCTGCACAGCTCCATCTCTGTCAGTCTAGATTCATTTATGTTTTCACTGAAAATAATGAAGCCTTTTCTTATTTTTTCTGTGTTTCTGGGGTTAGAGCTTAGCAAACCAATCTCCCTAATATAGAACTAGTGAGTTTTTAGTAATGGTCACCCCTGTGGGCCCGTGACAGTAGCTTAAACTGAAAGGCTAATGCACTATTATCTCATCATGGTTCTAATTATTCCAAGTAGTGCTCTCATAATTTTCTTCCTTTTTTACAGTGAGAAATACTCAGGAGGTATGCTTGTAACACAAGAGGAATTTAACACAGAATGTGTAAAACCACTATAGGTGTTCCTCTGACTTGATATTTGTAATCATTCCTACCAGTTCACATCAGCCTCACGCCAACAAAACTAGAAAGATGTGTGACTTCACTTTTCCCTGCGAACAGAAAAGTTTGGATGCTGCCTCTTAAATAGAAGAATAGACCCAATAAATTCTATAAACCCACTTGGGTGAGGAGCTGGATGCAGCATGTGCGTGTTGTCTTGCATAGAGGCTGTCAGACAATGGGGAATAAGTCTCTATCTTAAGCCTTCATTGCCTATTGTTAGGGGTTGCTGGATTGAGAGAACCATACAACACTATTGTCTGATGCCTCATGTCAGCTTGGCTGGGCAAGCGTTCAAGAATCATCTTGACTTAAAAAAGCCTCCAAGGGGTTGACTCATGAACTGTGTAGTTCTTAAACACCAACAGCTTCCATGTTGCTTGTAGAACAGTTGTGGTTTTCTACCCATGAAATTACTCCCAATCAATAATTCCTATCTTCTTTACAGCAGATGTTATCCGACCTTTGAAATCTGTGCCTGGAACTTGCATTGGAAAGTAGGTGCCAGTGTCTGGGTTGGCATGGTGCAGAAGGACAGAATGACACACATCCCTATGAGTGAGTATAGCTGCTCAGTTTGGATTCATTATACCCAGGTCTCCAACAATGCATCTGTCTCCATGTTTGTATCACCTCAAAAGTTTAGCAGGCAACTCAGAACTTGGCTCACCTGCCTCTGAGGCTGGTTCATGCTTTGCATTTTGTGTGAATTATCTGATTATGGCTAGGAAACAGTGAGACCAATCTTTTTTGTCTTAATTCCCCAAATTAGCCAGTAATTCAATTTAATTGTAACCCTTAGATGGTTTAACTGAATCTGTATGCTACAGTTTACTGTTGCAAAGACTATCCAAATTTGAAGGCAACATGAATGGCCAGCATGCCATGAAACAATAAAGAGATATTGACTGTTAAAAAACCATTTTAAGGAGTTAATTGCTATTATTGGCCACACACCAGTCTTACTAGTCTGGTAGAAATTAATAGACAGGAATATCTACTAACTCAATTTTAAGAAACTCCTCCTAATGTGCCCCCATGGATTCTCCGAGTCAGCAAGGATAAAACCATCCATTTAAAATTTTAATGGAGAAATCTGTGAGATACTCAGTTGCCCTCTGCCCACTTGTTTGCTAAGTCCCGTACGAGTAGCCTCCTGAGTTCATTTCCTGGCCCCATCTTAACCACCTGTCTTCTCTTTCAGAAGACAATGGCCATCACTCATTACACCAGGCTCCTGTTGGAGAAACAAGGCATGCACTCCATTAATCCTTGATTATCTGTCTAAATTCCACCTCCATTGCTACACTGCAAGTTTTCATGGAAAAAAAGAACCTTAACATTTTTATCTTACACCATCAGTTTCAAGCAGTTACACAATTTGCTTGGTGAATGGGCAAACCATATTGAACATGGTTCGGACAAGCCTATTTAAGGGGAATTTGCATACATTTGGGGAGCAAATACAGATGGTTAAGTGGAGCCTCATGCTTTGCTGTTTACTTTTTCTTTGAAAAATCTAAAACAGCTTACAGATTAAAAGTGAAGTAGAGAGATGGAGAAGATCCAAGAAGCAGTTTCATGCTGTATGCGCAGCACAATGCGGGAGCAGCATCCTTGACGTCATTGCATCAGGTGCTGAATATACAAACCAGTTTATGCTCATGTAGAATACTTGTGGTTTCTGTGTGCATCTATCAAGCTCTCATTCAATAACTTAACTTGGCATGCAGAGACAGAAAGCCAGCCTTCATAAAAGAAACAACAAATCAATCCAATTGTGTTAACAAACTGCCCATTGCGGGTGCCTCTGCAGGCCAATAGACCCAAGACCACAAAGAAAAGATTAAAAGGGAGTTCTGAGAATTAGTTTATTGATACCTAGAATGGTAGGCAAGTAAGGAAAGTCATTGATTCAGACAAACATGACCATGGAGTGGCCAGATCACCACCAAAATAGAGCAACAGAAATTAAGTCTTTTGTCAAAATAGTCCAAGGTAACATGAAACAATTTTTGAGATGCTAGGTATGGGTGAATGTGGGAATTATTACTGCATGGTGATAAAAAATGGAAGGAACTTCAGGTGGACAGCAACAGCCCTGAAGATGTTCCCATACAGGGGCCCAGGGAATGGAAAAGAGTCTCAGGTGTCACACCTGAAAAGAAGTGGAGGATATGGAGTTGGGATCTGGGGATGCTAAAATGGCTTTAGCCAGAAAGGATAGATGTGCCCAGGAAAAACAAAACAAAAACAAAAAGCAAAGCCAACTAACCGAAGAAACAAAAACCCCAGAGATACAGACAGTTCCTCCTCCAACTATTCATTCAGATGAATGAAAACGAGCAAACAGATGCTAAGAAAGTTCACAGAAAGCTGGGCGGTGGTGGCACACACCTTTAATCCCAGCACTCGGGAGGCAGAGGCAGGCGGATCTCTGTGAGTTCGAGGCTGGGCTGGACCGACAGCCTCGAAAACAATACAGAGAAACCCTGTCTTGTAAAAACAAACAAAAAAAAACAAAAAAAAAAAAAAGAAAAAGGAAGAAAGTTCACAGAAGCCAGGAAG